CTCTCTCTCTCTCTCTCTCTCTCTCTCTCTCTCTCTCTCTCTCTCTCTTTCTTTCTCTCTCTCTCTTTCTCTCTCTTTCTCTCACTTTTCGCCGAATACTAAAGAGAAAAAAAGAAGAAAGAAGCAAGGAGACTGGAAACCGGCCAAATGGATCGCGTCGTTTTCTATCCCGCGCGTAATAACAACGATATCTCATCGCGAACGTCACTGCGAGATTTTATGGAGACTCGTCGCGCTCGAGAGTCATAAAGATGAACATAACCGGCGACGCTGTGAAAATTTCCTTTTTTTCATAAGGTCTGCGGCAGAAATCGTTAAAAGATTATCTCGTTGCCGGCGGCACTCGTGCGATTAATAACGGGCGATTGAATTAAGCATCGAGTTGAAACGATAATCGAATTAATTTCCGGGAGATTAAACTCAAACCGTGTATATTAAATTCCGATGTTACCCTCGAAAAATGAGGGAAATCGACGAGAGATGCGTTGAGAACGATAATCTCGCGCGCGTTTCCGGTCTTCTACTCTTCTTGTCGTCTCTTTTCTTTCTTTTTCTTGGCCAATGCAACAAGATCAAAGAAAGAACGTGAAAAGTGGAATGACACAGTATATTTTCGTGGTGACTTTGTGCTGGGAATTTTTAACGCGGTGGCCTGTAACCACGTATGAATCTCGATCGGTGGTGGTATCATTTCCTTTGCATAATTTCCCCTGTCCCTCTCTTGTCCTCTTTCTACACCCTTTTCTTGCCTATCGACGCATTTTTCTTCTTTTTTTTTTTTTTTTGAAAAATTACATTTTCCTCCTCCCACAAACACAAATTTTTCAGACGTCCCAGTAGATTTTTGAAGCATATTTCTCCCTATTAATATAAACGTAATTGTTTCACACATCCTGTATCTTCTCCTTTGGGCACTGGACAGTACAGGGTTGTCGAGTCCTCGTCCCGTTTTTGTACCTCGTAATAGTAGTCTGTATTGCAGTGTGACGCACAAGCTGACATATCGTATTATTATTGTGTATATGTGTGAAGAATGTGGTAAAAATGATTTGTTTGGTTTCGCGAATCTGTTTGCCGTTTTATCTCAATCCACGTGGATTTCCACGAGATTGAAGTTTCGCGAATATCCCCGAGCTCAGAAATCCCCGAGCGGAGAAATGCCAATAAAATTATCTGGTTACCGCACTAAGTTAATAATAAACGATAATCAGAGTTAATTAACGTTACCCTAATTAATATTGAGCAATAAATATTAATTAGGCTCATGAAGGCTAACCATTCACACGTAATTAATGTTTTAAATATATGTGTATATATATTTCAATTATCTGTTGATATTAAACACTCTAGCAATATTTTAAAGCACGGACGGATTCACGAATCCTTGCGACAAGTTATTTCGTTCCGCGTAAAATTCATAATCGCAAGGAAAAAGATTGATTCTGCATTTTGTTTTTCTGTTCGTCAACGCGATTCAATGGGCACTCTGTAAAGAGAAAGGGAGAGAGAGAGAAATGACGTATCAATTTATTTAGAACGTGCTTAAATATATAAATATATTTTAACGTCATAATATCTATCTCTCGAGTGTGTCCAAATTAATACATATCGATAATAATTACATATCGATAATAATTAAAAAACACAGACGGATTTGTACGTTCTCTCGACGATGGTCGTTTTGCGCGCGACGTTCTCCGAGACCGATATCGATGTCGCGATTTCGCGGCCGCGAAATTTCGACCCACGTGATAGCACGTGGCGGCGGCCGCGCACTGACACTCATGCTGGCTCTTCAATGTCAGGGAGGGCTGCCCGGTGGGACCGGGTTTCACGCTCAGCAAGGTGTTCTTCCTGACACCCCTTCTGGCCAACAACAAAGATAAATGGGGGCTCGCCCTCGACGGCCAACTCAAACACGAGGACACCAATCTGGCGTCCAGCACCCTGTAAGACGCGATGCCTGAATCTGAGACACGCAGAGACACGCCTAGAAATCGATGCCGCGACGCGCGTTTTACCAGTAGCCACGCATTTAGCGCCGAGAGCATTCAGTGCACTTTATTCGAAACTTGGCAATCGAGTGCGAGAGTTTGATTCCGGCCTTACTCAACCCTCCGCGTACAATATCGAGTCTGTGAGACCCGAGAGAATATTCGGTCGTCCAGCAACTCTTGCAAAGGAAAATTTTCAAAACAGATCCGTTCACAGGTTTTTATTTTATTGCGCTACAATCTTCCACACAGAGAGAACAAATGTCTAAGATAGATGAAAACTTATTTATTTTCGGTGGGTGCTAGTAATATATTTATTTATATTAATATAAAATTATATATTTACATAAAAATATTGATATCATTAAATAATATAATAAATAATATAATAATATTGATATAAATAATATTTATATCAATTTATATTGATAAATAAAATAATATAAAAATCAATATATAAATTCAAACAAGATAATATACATTTTCCTAAAATCTCTTAGCTTTTCATTAAAGCAACTTTAATGTTTAAATAAAAACTCTATTTAAAAAAATTCAGATTTAAGTAAATATGTTATTAGTGTCTACCGAATAAATATTTTTTTATATTTTTTAGATATTATTCTCTCACAGTGTATAGTTGTAATGTATAGTTGAGGATTTTCTATATCTCTGAAAAAAAAATATATTAAAAAATACCGATTCTCAATACATTTATGATAGTTCAAAGTTGCCCGAGTCTGACAGATCAAGATTGTACCATATACCCCCAAAAATTGTACGCGGAGAGTGAAACCGTGGCTTCGACAGCTCATCGGGAACGTTTTGCAATTGAATTGAATTTTCAAAGTTATTACGAGTATAGCGCTCTATTAAAAAAATGCTTTAACATGTTCGCTATCACTCTTAATCTTTCGTTAGACTACCGTGTACGTTTTTATGTAATAATACACAACAGACTAATTTATTTACGTGGGCAGAGGATAAAGAAGTATCGTTGTCACATATATGTGACATCGGTCTCTCTTGAGAAATCGATGCGTCACACATATGCGACGTTGATAGCGCATGTGGTACTAAAAGAGAAAGAGAGAGAGACTATGTGCATTATTACATAATATTATTGTATGAAAATATGCTATTGTGCACAAAGGTGCAGTAGTGGATAACTTCGAGAATAATTCTATATCGATATCGAGGTGAATTTTGCACTCGATTCAGAGAGCTTGAGCGCTTACCTCGAAAGGGCTTAACGTAAGAGAAACTTTTACACAACTACTAGTTATATTTCAACACACGCTGTTACACAAATTATTGAGAAACGCGTTACACGAGTGGATTAATAATAAAGTTTGTCACGGTACAGCTCCGCTATATGAAATAAAAATATTTGCTCAGCGTTTCGTAACGCTCCCGGTGTTTTTCAGCGCTGAATGCGTGGCGACGAGGAGAATGCGCGCGGTTGTTGTTACGTTACGCACACGTGTCGTTGACGCACGCAACGCAGCCAATCACGCCTTTGGGAATTTCGTTTTCGTCCGCAACGCTTTCCACGACGGCCCAGACAATCAAATACATGTTGGTTGTCTGCAACGAAGCTTTCCTCAATGATCGATCGATCGATCGAGCGAGCGAACGAGCAAACATCAGTCAATCGTTATCGGGCGACAAAACTCCGTTTTACGAAATTCACGCTAAACAGCCATCCGAAGTTCTGACACGTGTGTCCTGTGAACTCTTTGGATCCGGATCCACGGATCTCGGTGGCTTCTACCAGGGCTTGAGATTTCTCAATCGCGTCTGTACTGTTAGATCTCAAAGTCTCCCATGGTATTTGAATGTTAGAATGTTAGACGCGACAGAGAGAAAGAGAGAAAGAGAGAGAGAGCAGCCAAGCTCTAATAAGCTTTTAAGCCTAATCTACAATATGCTCTTTGCATTCTATTTCTTGTCTTCTGTCTTTTTCTGGCTTAAAGCTTAAAGCTTAAAGGTTTGAGTCAGAAAGAGATAAAAAGAAAAAAGAAGGAAGCAAAGAGCATATTATAGATCAGGCTTTATCTCATTTTGTGACATTTGAAATCTTAAATTATTTTTTGATAAAATTGTAGCTATTTATGAGTTTAAAGATTAAAGATATATAAGTATAAAGATTAAAGATATATAAGATATAAAATAATGCATTTCACCATTTAGGAAAAAATGATCCAACAAGATATTCTGCCGAAATAAATGGTATCGTTAGAATTCTTACAGAAAACGTATAGACAATTTTTGCAAGAGATGGGAGAGATGAAAATCTTTATCGATAAAATAATAAATGATAATAATATTTATTAATTTAGGGTGACTTTTATCAAGCTCCGATTAATTCCATCGTTGATTAATTCCGTTGTAATCAGTAAATAGCTATTAGCCAATTCTGCTAACAACGGAATTAATTGACAATTCAGTTAATCGGAGCTTGGTAATAGTCGCCCCAAATTAATAAATGTCACTAGCATTTATAATCTGTTTTATTTTATTGATAGAGTTTCATTCAAGTTCTTCTAACGATATTATTTATTTCAACAGAATACTTATCTTTTCGTATTTTTTTCCAAATGGTGAGATGCATCATTTTATCATTTTATATATCTTTAATATTCATATATATAATTTAAGATTTCAAATACCGCAAAATGGGGCTAAACTTGGTCGCACTCTTTGAACCCTGGCAGCCGTAAATTCCGAGATCCAATTTCTTTAATCTTTTCGATGCCACTTCTCCCACGAAGAGAAGATAAGGATTCATACCCTTCATCAAAGAGTGCGGTCAAGTCGGTCGTAAACATCTCGCCTCTTTTTCAAAAACTTTGAATATTTTAATTAATGATATACCAATTCAAAGCTTATGTCGAGTAAATTAAAAATTTTAAGTCTCACGATATTATTCTCATAGTCGTTTGAAAGATAAACAGCCAAAATTACAATCTCAATAGTATGGCTGTTTGTTGAGATTGCAACTTTTCAGACCATTTATTTCCCAAACGACTACGAGGATAATATCGAAACTTTATATTTTATATTTTAACTTTATATTTTATATTTACTCGTCCTAAGCATCAAATTAATGTATCATTTATTAAAATATTCAAAGTTTTACATAATTCCATAGAAAAGAGGTGAAGACTTGGCCGCATTCTTTGTACATTTTGTACTTCCTCACGTTGATTCATTTCAATATCACATAACTAAAGTGTCTTGTACATTCTTCGAGGCTTAATTACAACTTTACTTTAATGCTCTAACAATTTTGTAATACTGTTTAATATAATACTCTTAGATTCAAAATTCTATGTCCTACACGAAGAAAATATTACAGTAAAAATTATTACAGAATTTTGCAGCCGAGGATATATCGATATTGCGCGATAATTTATCATGTGCTATTTATTGGATCGTGTAATAAGTAATTTCGAATTATTTAGCTAAAATAAAATTATTTTTTATGTCAAATTATTTTTTATGTCAAAATAAAATTATTTTTTAAAATGATATTTAAAAAAAAATGATATTTTAAAATGATATTTTTGTCATTAGAATTTTTTTTTTTTAATAATGTATGCGCCGTTTTAACATATGATCTCTTGCGATCCTTCGCATATATTATTTCGTAAAATTACAACGTGAAAGTAAAATCTTTCCACATCATCTGACAAATCCGAAATTACATATCACAGAAGCCAATATATTTCAAGAATTGAAGTACGCTGTTAAAAAATTTGCTATTAAAAAATTTGTTACTTTCAGCGAAATTTGCCACGTTCCTTGGCAAGATGGATTTTATTGACAGTCTATTCTGGCACTACTTGGAACATAGTAAAATTTAAAACAACTTATAAGTAAAAAATTATAACTGTCTGCGCGTTTAAATCTGAACTTGGAGATACTTTTAAATTGGAACGTACAAGGTCTGACAGACTGCGTCTATTGTCTATGAACGTATCCTGATGATTCACGATAAAATGAACATTATTCGTTATTTTCCTCTCATTTTCTTTAATAAAATCGCACAAAAACATCCAATATCAAACGTGAGAACACTCCACAATGGCATCGAAAGGATTAAGGAGCCGAGATCTAGATGATTTCGAGTGCGGATTACCTGGCAGCACAAATATAAACCGAGATACCACCTCTGTCGCGCGCGCGCTTGTGCTTGTCATAACTTGACGTCGCCACCGCCGTTGTGCTTGCGTGGAAAAATTGCATGGAAAATTTAGCGGATGCTCGTTCCTCCTCTACGAAGTCGCACTTTCACAATCAGCGTGATACCAAAGATGTGTACGTGGTTACCGCTTTGCATAAATGTTTGAATAGACATCGTCCAACGTTTTGTGCACCTTTATATAAGTGACGCTTGCGTTTTTTTCTTGTTCTTCTGTTTTTTTTTTTTTGCCTTTTTGTTTTCTTCTCTCTTCTTTTTTTCCGTTTCTGGCAGATAAAGTCAGCTCGCAATTCGCCTTCTGTGTGTTGTACCTCCGTCGTCATTGCATGACAATGCCGTTTTCGCGCATTCGTTAATCCCAAGCATGTGCTTCCACATAGTAGCGCCGATATCGATCGCGAGATGAATGTAATAACTGATGCAATAACAATACGAATACGATTCGCAGTGTGGTGGACCCGTCACAGCGCGAGAACCTTGGCATAATCGTCCAGTACAAAGTCAAAGTGAAACTTTGCCTCGGCGCCCTTGGAGGGTAAGTTCTCACACGTATACTTGTGAGGGGTGAAACGGCGACTCCGTCTCTCACGAGCAATCGATATCACTCTACCGAGATTCTACTCGGCACGCGAAACTCGAGATGAATATTTACGTCTGTTTTATGCCGTTATCGCAATCGGCAGGGAACTAGTCGCGGAACTACCCTTCATCTTGATGCACCCGAAGCCAGAAGAGGAGGAACCAGCACCATCTACGGCCCGACCAAATACAATACACCTAAATAACAGTGGGGAAGCCCCATTCGACGCGAACCTCATTCAATTGGACATGTAAGTCAACCGAAATTTCTATTCGTTCTCAATAAGATTTTTCTAAGAATTTTTTAATTTTCCGATTTTCTGAAATTAAATCTCTAAAAGAGTACACAGAAAAAAGAATATTCTTGCTTAGAAAATATTTTTATTATTAAAATTTAAAAAATAGGATTAATGTGTGTGTGTTAAAATGAAATTATATAGTGTGGAACAAAAATAAATTAGTCTTTAATCAAGACGAATATAATCAAATTAACACAATCATTTTTTCATAGAATATTATAATATTAATATTCTTGGCTATATATTATTAGTCTTCAATCAAAACGAATATATTCAAATTAACACAATCATTTTCTCTTATTATAAGTATTAATATTAATATTAATATTATTAGTAAGTATTAGCAAGTATTAATATTATTAGTTATGTATGAGAAAATCTAATGATTGATGTTAATTTGACTATATTCGTCTTGATTAAAATGATTGTGTTAATTTGACTATATTCGTCTTGATTAAAGACTAATTTATGTTCGTTCAACACCATATAATCTTATTTTAGCATTAATTTAAACAAGAATATTCTTTTTTTTTTTTATAGGTTTTCAAAGGTTGTATAAGTTATCATTCGGGAGAAAGATTGCTCTTTTTAAATTTTCCGATCTGTTGACATTAAATCTTCCCATGTAAATGTCCCAAAAAATTTTGTTCAATATTTTTCAATTTTTTTAATTAAAATTTTCGAATTAAATTTTTTAATTGGATTTTCCGGGGAGAGAATTCTTCTATTTCCCGATTTTTTGCAATAAAATGGTTGAAATAAATGGAAGGAGCAACCGAGAGGGAGCTAGTCTTTCTTAAATTTCAGGTCTGTTCTCAGGGAGACTGATGGTGACGACGACATCATCTTTGAGGATTTCGCGCGTCTAAGGTTGAAAGGCGACACAGACGCTTAACCGTGTTCCGCTGACATCCCGAAGCGTCCCGACAACCGTTTGACACCAGCTCATTGCGCACAAGACGGAAACCGCACGACACCGCCGGTTATATCGATACCAACGGTGCCGCAGCAGCAAACTTGAACGACGGTTATTGCCGTTAACATCAAGCACAAAATGTCGCCGACCTCTTTCCACCGTTTTTTGGAAAGTACTAAAACTTCTTGAAATAATAGTTGGATGCGAAGGAATGCGAAGAGGGCATTTAAAAAGAAATTAAAAGGGAATAAAGAGAAACAAAGAGAGAATATCGTGGGAGAGGAATTGTGAAAGAATTGCTTTGTGGACACAATTTTTCCCGCGTTAACTGGAAACGAATAGGCAACAGGGAGAATTCTTCTCCAACAATCGCCATTTTTACCGATCATCGAAGATGAGATTACGCCAGAGTTAAAAAATTTCGCTAGAGTGAATGTTTATCTCTTAAAGAACCGGATTTATCGGACGATTGCTGTAGAAATTAACTGAGCGACAATTAATTGTGTCGTTGTCTCGTGGCGCGTGTTCACTATTTGATCGCGACGATCTCCATTTGCGGAAAAAAGAAGCACGACGAATTAGTTGGCGAACCTTTCATTAAATGTCAACGACACTTCACGCTTTGGCCCCGAATACGGCATCAAAGACTGATATTATTTACGGAGAATATCCAAGAATTCTAGCCAATGAGACGTATTTATTGTAAAACTCTTAATACCAAAAGAAAGCTGCTACTGTAAAAAAAGAAAAAAAATTGTCAAAGAGAGAAAAATTCAGTATCTCGATACTTGACGTTTTTTCGCTAAAAGAGAAAAAACAAAGACCAGCAAAATTCGCAATCAATTCGTCATCTGACGAGATAATCGATCACGAGTGAATCGCGAGTTAATAATAACTACGAATTAATTAATTAGGGAATAAACTAATTCAATATCTAATCGATGCAAATTCGAGGACGAGAGTCTTTCTAGAAATATCGAACAGCCGCTTTTAGCGGAATTACGATTGTTTATAAGCACGGCCAGTACACTGTCTTTAAGTTGCGTCAGCGTAAGGGATAAACTCTTACCAGTCTCTTTTATTTTTTTTTTTTTTTGAGTTGACAGTTTCTACTTTTACGGACGAGTGAATTAACGTGAGCTAATATCGTGTGGGCAGCAAACGCACGAGAAACGCAAGTCTAATGCTTTTGTTCTCGAAGTAATTTCGCGCCGAATCGTCATATCACGATTGTAAATTAAACACGAACGAGAACACAATTAATCGCAGCAGTTGGAAACCGCGAGTCGTCCGATTTGAGACTCTGTAGGACGAAAGGGAACGAAAGAAAAAAATCACGCGTTTTATATTTCGTCGCGCTTCTCAGACACGTTGAATTACTGTAAGAACATGATTCACGACAACGAGACGGTGAGAAACGATCAGCGTCCTTATAAACCTATAAAAGGTTAAGACGGAACCAGTTCAGGAACGTTTAATGGAACTCGAAGAGAGACGCGGAGACGCGACAACGTAAAGAGGAAACATAGGAGACGACGTTTCGAGATGCAGAGATGTCAATTCGTAGATGTATTTATGAATATAATTTTTAGAATTTATATATCGGTAGCCTCGCGCGTAAGATTTGTAACATTAATCCGTTGCACCTCCCTCTCCTCCCTACGCCGATTATCCCGACCCCGATTATCCTCGATTAGCCAAGCTAATAATCGATCAATTAAGTTAAAAAGAAAAACAGCGAGCACAGTTCAGTCGTAAGTATTGTCCTCGGCAAATATCGATTGTACTTTTCCTTAAGACTGCTCGTGAATTCGATTTGCATTCGCGTTTGCGGCACGATGTCAAGCCAGCGTGTCACACAATGCACAATTTCGTGCCTTTTAATGTGCGAGTCGACACCGGCGCGCTGAGGGTTCAGTTCCCCGAATGAATTGCTAAAGCTATATGGGCCCGGACATACAGAAAAACTTAAGCAGTAAGAAAATTGGCCAATTACAATCGATTATTCTCTGGCCATAAGCAAAATCGTTGACTGTGATTGGTCAATTTTCTCACTGCTTAAGTTTCATTGCGTAAGTTTTCTATGTATCCCCTCACACGATGCACGACTTCGTGCCTTCTGACATGCGTGCTGACTGGCAATTTAGTTCACTGCATGAATTAAAAGATCTACGCAGTGAACTGAGTTACGTGTCAGAAGACACGTCAAAAGTCGTGCATTTTGTATTTCCAGCTTTACATGCATGCAGGGGATTTATAAACTGAGCCGTCTACAATGTCCAGATCCTACACATAGGAAAGTAATTTTACCTTTTTGGGCACAGGTGCGTGTCCTAAACATTTTTATTGCTTTGGTCTTTAAACACGAATATTTAAACTTTCAACATAAAGTATATAGATATCTATCTTGAAAGGTAAAGTATTTAAAGACCAAAACAATAAGAACTACGAGTCTGAGCAATGGCATATTTACCTTAAGCATCAGAAGGGATGAAATCGTGTGTCGCGTGAGGCTAGTAAACCTTGACTCGCCGGAATTTTAAGCATCGTTTAGCATTTCGATATCGATATCGCCTAATTGAACCTCGGGCACAAAGACTTTTGCTACAAGACGACGAAGAGTGTTACGAAGATCATCATCAGACAAACTACATCGCTCGAAGGAAGTCACATCACGGCGACATCGCCTCGCGCGAAATTACATCTCTCGTCATTTTTCCGAGAATCCGTGGGAAACCGTTTTGTCACTCTCCCGCCCCTCTCCCTCCCCCTCATTCTCGTTAGATGCGGTTCGAGAACTGCATTCTTATTCATTCCGAGGACGAGTAATTATAAGAAACGAACGCGCGCTTATGACTTTAGCATGTAGGTACGAGTCGTTGTTGAATCTCGGAGTACTCGGATTCTCGTGAAGAGATGACGATTCGCCATCAAGCGTTAATTTCCAAATCTAAAGAAAGTCAAAGTCAACGATGAACGGTCCACGTTGGCAACGAAGTTCAACGTAACGGCGACGTTAATTACGATGACGCAATTTGCAGAGCCACGAAGAAACTATAAGCATTACAATGTACATGTATATACATACGGGAGGCGAGAGAAAATAGTATTTTTTATCACTGTAGCATTTACAAACTGTATTTAGACGAGGTAATCAAGCGTAATAGCCCGAATAGCGTCTTTTCGCCGCGCGTTCTCGACGCGTCGGAAACGCACGGCGGGAGAAATACGGGCGTGTTTCCCTTATACCAAAGCCAACACGTTTCCGCTTTTTTCTTTTTTAATGCTTCTCAAAAAAAAAAGTATTAATAGCAAAACCGCGAGAGTGAATTAAATCTGAAGGGATCGAACGAGCACAGCTCTTTTTCCTGGTAATCAAAATGTTGGTCCATTTCATTATTTACTTATATAATTATTATTGATTTTATTATTATTGGTTATATATAGACACAAGTGTACGTAATTTTCTTAAATCACCGAGAGTGTCACGCGGGGATTTATTTCGACTTTATGTGTTTTGCATTTAGTTCGACATTAACAAGGTGTCATCAATTTTACTCACTTTCTCTCTCATCATCGAGATACATTACTTTATTTGATGCAACATTAACGTAACCAGCGCGAGTCGCGCTTTTTTTTGAGGAGTTCTTTCACTGTTTAACTCGCTCTCGTAAGGGAAAGCCAGAACATGCATGTTCAACGAACGTAGCTGTTATTTAATTAAGGGAAAAAAAGTTCTTGCGATTGTGGTAAATGTCGAGTGCCGATACTTCGATTATCGTTTTAGGCGTTTGAGCCACGTGTGTAAGTATATATGTGCAGGCTTGTGTATACAGTGAGAGTATATTTTACATTCGCCCGAGGGCGCGCGCATATTTTTTATATGATCGCAACGGTAGGCCGTTATAATGTTCTTATTGTCTCACCCGATAGGGCAAGATACACAGAAAGAATTACGCCGCACAAAACTGGCAGAAATAATTCAAGTCAATAAAGTGGTGCCGTCTCTGTAACTGTACGATCGTTTCCCTGCGATATGAAAGCACGTCACATACAAAGTGTCGCAAAAAGAGAATCGTGAATCTTACCCGTAGGCTTTGATTTGAAATTTTAGCAAGATTTTAGAACAGCTCCTTGGGATGGGAAAGATCCAATCGTCGATTGATTGATATTACGCGTGAGGGACTCACAATTGGAAACTACACGACGTGAATCTTGACGTTCAATTGTTTTAAAAACTTGCTGAAATTGTAAATCAATTTTGAAGAATTGTAACAAAGATTTGTAATCGAAGTTTCTGTATACAAATTACATACTCGTGTTCAAATATATAATTAATTTCGTTACAATAAAAACAAAAGTGAATGAACCAGACTCTTTTCTACGCCAACTTGCATTACGATTGTCTCGTTGTTGAACGTAAAACGAATGTAAATATTTAATATTAAAAGCCGTACCGCGTTGACGCTATTTTCGCTAAGGGACACATCCAACGACATATCTGATTTCTTCTCGCGTACGAAACGCGATAGTTTTTGGGACACTCTGTATCTAACGAATCACAGTTATCACAGCGATAAGTAAAGCAAACGATTACGCTTCTTCGGTGTAGCATACTTTATATCGAAGAGCTCACATTTCTCTCATCTATTTCGTTTATCCGAAGAAAAAATTGTACTTCCGTGCAAATAGAGAAGACTTTTAGAATTTTAAGTATGACTGCAACATAAAACAGTATCGTGCAACATAAATCGACGCAAATAATTGATTACACTGCGCATAATGGTAAATGATATAAGCTAGAGGTAAGAGGAGGAGGAGAAGGACGAAGAAAGAAGCAAAGAGAGAAAAAAAAAGAGAGAAAGAAATAGAAATATAGAAAGAGAGGAGATTATGCGCTCGTTTTTCTTGAGAGTGTGTATCTGTAATTAGTGTAATCGAGTTTGATGTACAAGTGTCGTGGTTCATTACAGCTGTTACACGTGTAAATCGTAAGAGAGAAGAGAAGGCCATTATTGCTACTTGTACATTGCAATAGAAAACGATTTATTTATTGAAGCCGCGCGTTGTTAGTTAGCAACAGAAAGTCGTATCGTTCATGGTCGTTCGTTGTTCATTCGTGAATAATCCGTTTTGTATGTAAGAAAAATTATAAGAGAACTAACAAAGAAGAAAGCGTAAGAGGAAAAGAGAAAGAGAGAGAAAGTAAGTGCAAATGAGTGAGTGAGAGTGAAATGGAGCGAAAGCAGAATGCGAGAGTGCGCGTGTGTGTGTGTGTAAAAGACACGAAGTAAATTATGCATAATGTATATGTAAAGATCGTGTATATTCTCGTATTGTAACTAGCTGTAATAATTTAATAAATCCTGTATATCGGAACTATACACACTTCCTGTATATATATTTGTTTAACACTCGTGTATCCTGTTTTGATATCCTTCCTCCCATTGAATTGTCGAGTTCTGTAGTGTATTATAAAGTTTCCCTCGAAATTATTTCGTCGACTTTTCTCGAACTTTTGTTTTGTCTTTAAAATTTTGTAAAAAAAAATTCCCTATAACTGAGCAACACACATTGATACTTAGGAATAAAATGATATATAACAGGCATACAAGATGACATTGATTAATGTACCGAATAATATTGTTAATGTTGAAACTATAAATGAAATATTATATTATAAAAAGAACTGCGTGCGATATTTTAAAATGCATGAGCATTCTGTACTATCATTCTAGATAACTTCCACATGATTTCAGTATAATTGCGCGCGATACGTTTTACGAACGCTGCTCCAGTTCCCGGAAGTTAGAAGAGTTCCTTAATTAAAAAAGTAACGCGCAATTAACGAAGTCGATCAACCTAACGCGAAAGACATGACAAGATTAAATGCATTGCTCCTCGGCGGGAGCTGAGACTTTCTTTCTAACTCACTATGTTAAGAAGATCTACGATACTTCGGAGAATTCGTGATGCATAAAAATTAATATTAATACGAGTACATGTATTATCTAAATATAAAAAATAATTAGATATCGAATGCACGAGCGTGTAAATTACACAGTTCATATATAATATATCAGTATTTAAAGTGCCAAAATTAATATCACGAACTGAATGAGATGATGATGTCGCAATTAATGAATAACACTAGAACACGCGATTGTAACATCGTAAGTACCTAGAGGCACGAGTGAGAGAAATATTCAGATCGCCCCCATAGTTCCCGAAGTAATTTGCCGACGAGGGTTGGTAAATTCGCCATTTCATTCACGTAGGAACTTCATGCGGATTTAGCCGTCATCCGCCGCAAATTCACGTCATAAATCGCGCCGAACAGAAACCAAGGAAAAAAGAGACGAAGGAGCGGCGTAGAGGGAAAAAACGAGAGCACTACGGCACTGAGGAGGCCCGGAAGAATTACGTAGCAGAAAGGAAGAAATTGGCCGAGAAGAAGAAATAAGAGAAAGCACGCAATAATGGACACAAGTAGGTGGGGAAGGCGGAAAGAGGGAAGAGGACGGCAAAGGGGTGCGAACAGAGGGGGCGAGAAGCGGAAATGAAAGAAAAATGAGGAAAAAACGGCGAGGAGGGAGGAGGCTGAAGAAGGTTGGTGGCGGAGGCAGAGCAGAAAGGGAGATACAGGGTGGCGCGCGAGTTTTGACACGCGCCGCTACTCCATCTCGCTTCGTCTTGCTCCTCTCGTTCCGTCTCGTTTCATCTCACCACGCAGCCTCCGTGTTTCTTCTTCAGTATGATCCGCGCGGTCCGAGCGCGAGCACCGTGCATCATTGCATGCTGCAACGTCCCGATCGCGTCGTTCATTCGATTCGCGGCCGATACATCCCGTGAGAGTCGACGATCGCGAGGCTACGTGGTGTCGGAAACTCAATCCCGTCGAGGAGGAAAATCTAAAATTTAACCGAATGTACAAACTCATTAATGAGCCCGGGGACATTCGAGATCGCCGCCACGAAGGCGTTATATTTGTTGGCGGTTTCTAAGGGACCCCGTAGTAATTTTCACGGACAATCACTAGTATATATACTAGATCGAAAGCCGAGGAGAAACGTATTGTTACAATACATTCCCATCCCCCTGTGGCCGGAGTATCCCCGCCGTCGATTTGTCAATTCATTCATTCAGCCTCGTCAACTTTCACACGTCGCGAGTCGTCTCTCGCCCGTGGAGTCGTTTCGGGTCGTCTTGTTTTATTACGCCGCAAATCGCCGCGAGACAATCTCGTGGGAACGGTCGCGTCGAATATAGAAACTTTTAATGAGCACAGAAAGGTAATCGCTCGCCGTAAAGGCGTCGTTCCATCGATTCCTCAAGAGTTCCGCCAATCGCCCGAGTAATTTCGTGGACACTTGTTCGCACCGTACGTACGGAAACGTAAAGTAACAAGTTCTCCGCTGCCACTCCTCCCCCCTCTGTCAAATACGTTTCCAATTTTTGTGTCCAATATCTCGTTACCGATTCATCGGCTCGTTCAGATATGGGGTTCCGCGAGGTTTCGTGCATTAAAAGTCGATAAATTCGCGCTACTTTGCCATTCAAATGTCGCGAGTCACTCGAGATTTAATAAAGCCGATCAGCCGAATCCGTCTTGGATATCGAGGAGTCACGTAATGCCGCGCGATTCTATAGCAGATATACGCGATGCTTGGAAGGTGTTCCTCGCGAGAACGCCTTCCGAGGGTGGCACGCGATCTCCCGAGACTTCAATCCGCGGAATTTCTTAGCAAGGCTCGTATCTCGCGCTGTGTTACAAAAATAAACTGTCTTCACCAACAAGAGATCGCAAAATATCGCATAAAAATTTGATAATAATCGCGTATTAAACTTGAATTTTCTCTCAAAGAAATAATACATTTTCAAACGGACCTTGCAGTTATAAAAATTTAAAACTGAAATTTCTTTCCGTAATTACACTCATCGATGTCTCGTCGGCTCAAATGTAGGTTTAGTCGATTAAACTTTATCGATTAAAATTTTCCTTGACAAGACATTACAAAATAATCGAAAAATCAACCAACAAAATTAATCAATCATCATGTGTGAAATCATGAATATTTTAATCGATTGATGAAATCAATTTTTAATCTAATAATTAATATTAATCACACCGAAGTTTGATTCATAATTAAATGCGTCAATCAGTGAAGTTATTTGAAATTTAACATACAACGATCGATTAATTTTCATTAATAATTTACCAGTTATTTGAGACAAAGGAGATTTTCACTGATTAATACTCAACATGTTTATTGATAATTTACAAATTTGACCCAACACATATATATCGATTCACTGCCACGTAAAGTGTAACGTCAAGCCTACAGTCCGAAAAGCATTTTGTTTCTTATTGGCGCTTTTTCCCGGCGCATTTTGACGGTGATTTTCCTCCGAATTTTATACCGATCTACTGTCAATCAATTCGTGCGAGTATGATTGAACACGAAACAGACAGGGAAGGAGAAGAAACAATAACTACATTTGCGTCCTCACTTAACTTCACCCGGCGTTCTTGCCCCGCAAATAAAAAGTATTTATAACCCGCAGAGAAAGATTTTTCGAGCCTACAGAGCCGCATATGCCTTTTCCTTCGACTCAAGGTTATTGGAGCACATTCCCAAAGTTTGACGACCTATTTCAGAAACGCCTTATATCAGCAGGTTTGTCTCGATGGCTTCCTCCACTTACGGCACTCACAGCAAAGACTATACCACTCGAAATTTCTCGAGGAACTTGCGGCCGAAAGGTAACTCCGTGAGTTTCGCGCGCAACCTTTCTAACATCCCACATCTATAAATCATATCTCGGCAAAGCCAATAAAACCTCGGCGGTGAGGGGGATGGGGGTGGAGACTGCGGACGAACAAATAAACATTTACTTCATCGCTGCCCGCGTGTATCGGAAGAATCGGAGGGAGTACAATCTCGGCGCGATATGAAGTGGGAGTGAAGATTCCGCAAGGAAAGTGAGAGCTGCGTCTCGGCTGAGGTTCAAACAATGTACAAACTATATCGGCGACGTGAGAGTGCCGATGGCGTCGGGACGCCAACAGCAGAAATTGAAAAAGTAAGTATGATCGTATAGAGTCGATCGAGTTACGATATGTTTCCTTTCGATTCGCAGGATTCTATTTTTCTCTCTACTTCTCTCTCTTTCCATCTTTCTCTCCAAACCAAATGAAGTTCCTATATTTTTCTATCACGAGATCTTATTAAATAAAAAATGAACGGGAAACAATCAAAATATAACGTAATACAAGATGACAATTAACGTAAGAACTAACACGTATCTAATACTGGAAATTCTTACTGTTTTGGCTTTTAAATGCGAATATTTAAACTGTGAAAACGTATATACATATTCAATATATGTATATATGTATTTTATGTTGAAAGTTTAAGCATTTAAATTTAAGACTTAAATAAAGATTTGAATATTTAAGTTCAAATATTAAAAGATTGAAGTATTTAAAGATCAAAACAAGCCCTAAGATAGCTCAGAATCGGGTACGTGTCCGAGCATTGGTGCTTTTATTTCATAAGACGTTACTGAAATTACTTTTGAGAACAAACTTATAAGATGGAAAAATACCAACGGTTTTTGAAATGTAAGAAATCTGCCAATTACATTAGCACGCAACGCAAAACCTATGTGAAAAACGAGTTAATGGAAAAAGAAATATATACTCGGAAGAAAAACTGTGAGAACGGCGACAGTAGGGAAATGTTCAGTGAACAACATAATGTGATCGGGACAGTTAAAAAGCGCGTCTGAAGAAAATCGAAGAATTGGAATTTACAAGTATAAAAGGATTAAAATGCACCCTTTAGAGACATTTTCCGACGGGATTCATTTTGTTCCATATTTACCATGAAAGCCGCATTTGCATATATTTTGCCTTTACTGTGGAAGCACTCGATGAGATAAACTTTTTCTTCCACAGTAGGATCGCTCTTGACTAATAATGGCATCGGCATGCGCGCGCGCACGCACACACTGACTCTCGCGATAACAAGAATGAAATTGACACGTCACTACTTTACGAAACTAATAACTGCAGCTGGGGGGATGATCCAGAAGAGGTGTAGCAACGATTCAATTTCGGCAATGTCTCTCAATTCTCAGTCCGGAGCATGATCCCGCGGCGAATCATTGTTCAACAGGCGCGCGGATAAACGCTCTTTAAAGAGGATCGAGTGACTATTTATATAAAACTACTATATCACACGACTTTTTTCCGAGTAATCTCCCCTTACGTTTCGATAAATATATATTTGTCCCGTCTCTCTAAACCTTCTTATTTTAACGGTGAAGATATCTTTGGACTCGTAGCCAGGTTCGCACTGCTTGTTCATCGACCATGCTTTCTCGTCCAGTTTTAAACTTGTTTACCTCGCCGTGAAAGCTCACGACGCGGTTCATGCAATTTACGCCGTATTGAGCATATATCCTTCGGTCAATTTCAGCGGACTCCGCCTGTCTCCCGACAACAAAAAATCGCGTAACGTTCCATAGAGAAACGATTGCGAATTGTGCGACGACCATTCGTGGAAAATTTCTAAGAAAACCAGAAAGAAGCACTTCGAGCCACGGCGAATTGAGAACGGGACGAATAGCCCGTCGCAGCGTACAATCCGGGGAAATTTCCCGCAAATCCATATCACGGTACAGGATTCGCGGGTGCGGTGATTAAAAAAGCAAAAGCTATCGAACGACCGGACGGATTCTCTTTATTAATGCATTCGCTTAGCGTCGCTGAATTTTAGAATGCTCGAAAAAGTTTTCTTCGCGCGACAACAGTTCCATTTGACTTCGACAAAATTCCCTGTAAAAAACATTCACGCTGTCTATATCTACTATCTCTCAAGAACTGTGAGAGAGAAAGAACAGAAAAAGAGAAGAGGGAACACAAAGCTCGCTCGCGCGTTGAGGCGCCTTCAAAAAGAAATCTAATAACTGCGACTCGTTCTCTCATCGCGCTCCAGAAAATAGCCGCGGACATACTTGCGACTGTAAAACAATGAATAACTATTATTGTTCTCATAATTGATTCTCGGGCAGGAAAAGTAGCGAGTAAAAATGGCGAAAAACTGCGTTTTATCGTGTCCACTGTATCGCTTCGAGCCGTTCGAGAACCCGCCCGGCTGCACACTCAATCGCGCGTAAATTTTTACAGCTTTGTTAAAAATGCAGATGACTCGCGTATGATCTGAATTTTCAACGCGGTTTAATGACAGAGACAAAAGAGAGAGAATCCCGGCCGAACAAAGACAACCGAGATGCTCACGCACAGATTTGCTCTTTATATTTCATAATTAATAAAAGGCTCACGCTCACTCACTCTCTATCAAAGGCGTTTTTCATCGAGGCGCTTTTTACTATCCAAGTTACCTCGATACGCGCTCTAAAATCGAATCGTGACATCGCATTTCTCGTGTCCAAATTTCATCATTTCATGATGGAATGATGATCGAAAATGTCGATCACAGACTTGTAAAGATAAAATGCGCATTCTTGTCTTCTGACAGCTGTCTGAAGACAAGAGTGAAAGACAGAAAATGTTGAGTAAGCTGTTTTCTTTGTCACACAGTATTGTACACTCAGAGAAAAAAATAGTAATGATAATTATATAGATGACAACTGTTTTGCGCAGAATTAATGTATGTACCCGAGCAAAAATCTAGTAGAGTAGATTTCAAGACTAGTAGCTAGATAGTAATGACTAGAAAACTTTTCTAGCCAGTCACTAGCTCGTGACTGGCTAAATATTCCCACTCAGTCTTTTGAATGTCAGGACTATCTAGTAACTATATCAATTACATAGATAGTGACTAGATGAAAAAGATTACAGTAACGAGATAGAAAATTATCGGTAAATCCTGAATAGAAATTGGATATCAGAACTGTCTAGTACTTATATCAATTATAGTTACAAGTTATTTTTTTGTATCTAGCTACTAGATAATTTTTCTGGTATAGCCACTAGGAGAAATGAGCGTTACATTCCTAACTAGTAGCGATGTAAGACCCAATTTTCCTGTGTCATTACTAGACAATCACTAGATTCAATTTCTGCTCGGATAGTTTATTAAATTATACACGTTACAATTCTAATGTATGTAAATTATAATGTACTTCAAAAAAATATTAACACATATAGAAGTCACTTTTTTAAAAAATCAGAATCAATTGTTTTAATTCTAAACAAATTCTCCATTTAAGTGTTAACATTTTTATGAAGCACCCACTTATATGGAGAATTTGTTCAATCAGAACAATCGGTAGCTTTTCTAAAAAAGTTACTTCCATATAGTTTTAACATTTTTTAAAAATACCTTGTACATAGTTTATTAAACTACAATTCTACATACAAAGCCCGTATAGTTGTCACTTATATAGCTGCCTCCATGTTTTTTCCCTGAATGTAAGAGGGGATGATGTGAGGAGTGAGACAAAAGAAAGAATGAGACAGTGAAGGAAAGAGAAGACGCATTAATCATGATTTGACTTCTTCTCATCCAGAAAATTAGACAAGGAAAGTAGAAAAGACCGAGGCTATTTGGCTATTAAAGTAAGTTAAGAACAAAATCGGTTATTTCTAATATTTTCTATATTATAAAATCAAATAAGATTTTTAAACATGAGAGATAGCTTTGAAATTCAGTGATTATAAAATCTGTTAAAGAACAATAGAAATAATCGATTTTGCTAACTTATCCCGACTCTCCTATTTTATTTTCTACTATACAATCACAATTTTTATAAGATATACATCGTTCAATTCGAACGCACGAGAGAGTTCAGTTCTCGTGCGAACAACGAGATGTTTCCCCGACTTTTTCTCCCCCAGCAACCCTCGCTCGACCGACCGTGAGATAGGGGAAAGGACAATTATGTAAGTCAGCTGCCTGATGACATGATGCGTTGCGCGATTACTCGATTGCAATTTTCGCCAACGCGTGTGTCATCTGTGTTTATCACAGATGATGTTTGTTTACTACACAAGAGAAGAAAGAGCGGTTCACGTGTAATACAATACACAATTCGATGTAATCCACGGTGGCACGATGTAACGTAATATAATGTCACAGAGTACGGTATGATGAGATAAGGGAGACGATCCACACACCACCGTACGATACAACGTATGCTCTACTTGCGGTTTTAATGGACAAACTTCGAGAACGCAGACGCTCGAAACTGAGAAGAATTGCCTCTAAGCACGCTGCCCCTACGTAAATTATCGCTAAACTCTGAAGCACTCTGCGTACGTGCGTGTATGCGTGCATGTATGTGACAAAAACTTATGTCATTTAATATTTTCGTTAAAATTTAGGAGGAATTCGTCGTTTTTTAGAACTACATAGTAAGCTTTATAACTAATTGAAACCATTAAACCATTTACGTATATGTTAGTGAATACTTATTGTGATCTTATTAATTTCTTCCATATGTTTTTAAATATTTTTAGAAAACTGTTCTTCTGAAACAACTTAATCCTTTTAGATTAAACTACTGTTTCTTTATAATTTATTGTTTCTAAAGTTCTTTTTCATTATTTTTTGGCATTTTTGTTTATATATATATATATATATATATATATATATATATATATATATATATATATATATATATGTATAATTGTATTTTTCCTTTCTCTCTTCTCTGGATATTTTATACTGTTTTATGTAACACAGGAACACCTCTCCATTTAATTAATTAAATAACTAAAACGTGGAATAATAATAACCGATCAACAATTACGCAAATTAGTCATGGTATGTTTACGAGATTGTCCCGCGCAAAAAGGTATTTGATATCCGATGACTATAATTGCGTGATAAAATAATTATGGTCAAGAAGACCGTTTTCGTAGTTAACGTTATTATATTATTAATGATAATAGTCTTAGATGCATATTACGCTGTTTTTGTAAGAACGACAAACAAATATGATTGGCGCCGAAGTGACTATAATTTTAATGAAATTATCCGTTTTTTCCTCCTCGTGTGTCTACAACGCGGTTGATTGAGATTAAATTGCACGATCGCCATCACGTTTCTCCT